GCCAAAAACACAGACTGAGAACACTCCCGATTTCTGGGATTTGTCACTGGAATGGATGCCTTGTTGTGATTCCCACATTCTGCTGTGGTTCCAAGTCTGTGTGTGTGCCTGCCTGCTGGTTGCATGTCTGTCTGAGTGCTTGCTGGTTGTGTGTGTGTGCGTGCATGCCTGTCTGAGTGCTTGCCGGTGGGGTAYGTGTGTGTTTGACCCGCAAGGGTACTTGKTGGTTGCAAGGCCCACCGGGCCGGTACTTACCTGTGGCCGTGACTCTGGAAGGTTGCAGGGGGGCAAAACACTCCGGTAGCGGGAGATAGGCCCACGGCACTTAGAGCAGCTGGGGAAAACACTCAAGTAGCAGGTAGGCCGAGCAGAAGAAGACAAAAAGTTGGCATTTTTAGAGGTCCAGTAGCGGTAGGTTGGGGGTAGGCCGGTACCAGTCCAAGTAGCCCGGGTCTAGGGCCTGTGCGGACAATAACAGAGCCTGCAATGATGTTTCCCTCCAAAAGGGAGGAGGTACCGGTTACCTGGAAGGCCGCTTGGCCTGGAAAGTCACCGCCCAGGAGGCCGGTAGGCCACTATATCTTCAGGAAGAGCGGAAGGCTCTTCCTCATTTGCGGTATGCAAGGATTGGCGACATGCTGCTGGAGCGCAGCGCTGGACTGAAGCAGCGCTGCTTGGAGGTGAAGGTCCGCTGGGGCTCAGCCTGGCTACGGCGAGCACCCCAGCTTGAGGAGGAGGAAGAAGGGGGCATGGTAGGAGTGGTAGGGCACTTACCTGGCTATGGTGGACACCGCCTTCATCACCTTGTTGGGCGCTGCATCTGGAAGGCCCCAGTTGGGGTAGAGCTGCACCAGAGCAGCTCAAGGCAGAGTCAGGCATAGCGGACCAAGTCAAGCAGCGGCATAGCTGCTTTGGGTTGTCTTGGGACATCAGCGCAGCATCATAGCTGCCTGCCGGTAGTCCGCCATGGCCTATGCATGAGAGAGGAGGACGAAGGAGGGAAGCCATGGCCATGGTGGACTTTCTTGTTGTTGTTGTTGTTGTGAGTTGAGTCAGCAGTAAGGGGGAACTTCGGACATTGATTCTGGTTCATCCATTCATTGTTATTATTATTATTGAGAGAAGAATAAGATTGGTGAAGAGAAGGAGGAAGGAGGAAGGTGGAGAGAGAAGGGGGAATTGTCATTGGTCTTGCTGGTGTACTTCTTTTTCTTCTTCTTCTTCTTCTTCTTCTTTAACTCTCCTCTGATCTTTATCTCTTTGCAAGTGCTTTCATTTCTTTCGCAATTGGGTGGCATTGTCTTTCATTGTGAATTTGCACTTGGGAAATGACCAGGATCGTAACAATTCGTATCGGAGCGGACTTACTTGCTGGCGAGAGGTGTTAGTCACCCTAACCCTAATTCCGAATAAAGTTAGGGCTAACCTAATCTCGGATTAGGGTTGCAAGTTAGGGTTAAGTGGGGCAGCGAGGTATGGGGATGCTGCCCCCACCTGGTTAGGTCATGTAGGGTCGACATTGGACCCAACCAGGTTGCTTGAGTGAATGTATGGGGTGGCGAGACACAAAGGAGGCTGTTTGGAGTAAGCGAGAGGGAGTAGAGAGTGAGGTACTCGCACCTGGAATCTGGACTTCAGGAAGACATCGAGTGACTTTTGGGCTTCCCCTCAAGAGGGAGACTTGATCGGAGGCTGCCATATCTGCATCGGATTGCTGCAAGTTGCTACTTTGGTCTTCAGGCATCGACGGGGGATCCGGCTTCGCAATAGGGGTGTAGGAAAGCCCTCTTGCTAGGACACTTCGTGTAGTGGTAGCTAGGGGTCAGGAGGACTTATATGAGAGTGGAGTGACTCGTAATCCATCCTTGGAGGCCGGGCCTCACAGGTAAGTGCCGTGTGACCTGGGAAAGCCCGTGGGAGGTTGCTTGGTGCTTCATGGCCTGTTGGGGGTGTGCTGGGTTCTCTTCCTCTTCTCTGCGGTCTTGGTTGTGTGTGTGAGCATGTGGATTGCTTTCTCACCTGATGGATGGATGGATGATGTATCTGTGCTAAATGACATATCTTTCAACGGTGCATTGTCTTTTCAATCCTGAACGGTTGTAGGGGCAAGTTCTTGCTGAAAGTTGTCTTTTACTTTTCAGTACGGTAGAGACAGTTTGGGACTGACTTGGTACCCCTGTCTCCTTAGACCTGGTCCACGACCTACTTGGGACCACTCGGGACCCAGTGGGACCAGGCCCAACGGGACAGGACCTTTTGGGCCCAGATCTGTTGCCGCCAGTGCATTGCTTTGCTGTGCTGGATTTGGGGGACATACAGACAGCAAGGGCATTCCTTTCAAGGGGATCTTGACTGGCCTTACCGCATGTGAGCACATACTGCCCCGTGTCTGACTCGGCGACCATCTGCACCCCTCGAAATCTCCATTGCTGCAGATAGTCTTCTTCGTCTGATTTATTGTGATGACATGTCCTCTGTCAGGTTGGACAAGAGGGGATCTCCAGCTGATCTGATCGGGCCCGTTCTATAAATCAGACCTCTCTGCTGTTTTTTTTTGTTTTTTTTTTTTATATATTTATTCTTCTGCTGCGTGCCACACTCTGAGTCCAAATGATTCGCCGCTCCGGCCAGGAGTTTTACCTTCTTCTCTGAGTGGTTTTCTGTTTGTTTCTTTTATCTGAACTATCTATGTCCAGCATCGAGACGCGTGCGCAGACAACGAAAAGAGAGGAAGGGGAGAGAGAAGGTGTGCTGTTTGAGAGTGTGAGAAGGGGCAAGAGGAGTGTTCGTCCAAACGTCAGGCGAGAGCAGACCCCTCTTGAGAGTTCTACTGACACCCCTTCCTCCAGCATGGCGGTCATCACATCTGACCAATGGTAGGCCATGCTGGATGCAGCAGACGAGAGCCAGAAACCGTTATTTCAAAAGTTGTATGATGATGCCGTGCGGAGGGAAAGGGAGGCGGAGGCAGCAGCTAGAGCTGAGAGTATAGCTGCTCAGGAGGCCCTCCTACAGGTCCCGGAAGCCAATGCTGACCGGTTCCAGGAGAGGCTAGCTGTTGTCGTCGCAGCCTTGGTCCGACTGCGGAACTTGGAAGATCTCGAGTCCCGTATGACAGCACTTGAGCAGCGGAACCAAGACCTGCAGGCTAAGGTAGTTAGCCTTGAACAGGCCCAACTGTCTGCCCCCCGCCCTCCTAACCCTCGGTCTGCTGTAGTCCCGGTCTCTCAATCAAACACAGCCCTCATAGTTAGATCAAGTGGAACCACGGCAAGCGCAGGATCCGGTGCCAGCTCCTCGAGCGGCAGCGCCGGCAGTTCTGCGCTGGTCGCGGTCCCAAATGCAGGGAC